ACTTAAACACCAAAAACAACAACACACACACACAACGGAATATTGATATATAGATCATGTAAGGAATTCTTTAAAATAAACAAAAACAGTGCAGATCTCAATAGGAAAATGGATAAAGAATATGATTAGGCAATTCACAGAAAGGGAAAATAAATTACTTATAAGTGTGTGAGATGATCTTCTGAGGTTAAAAAATGCATATTAAAACAATAAGATACAGAAAAAGTAAGTCAAAGGACCAAGACTACCTGACTTCAAGACTTACTTTAAAGCAACAGTAATTAAGACAGTGTGGTATTGGCAACAGAATGGACAAATAGATCAATGGAACACAATAGTATCTGAAAGTGATAAAGAAAAAAAAGGCTATGGAATCTGCTTGAGATTTTATTTCAGGTGTGTGGAAAAACAATTTGAGCAAATTTAATGGGGAATAGTGAATGAGAAAAAAGTTACTTCTTGCTTGCACTGAACCAAGTGGAATTCAATAAAATACTGGTTACACGTATTTTATCTACTAGATACAAAGAAAGAATGGTTAATAAGCAGTTTGAGAAAAAGAACAGTAAGAGCAACAACAAGAATAGTGAATATTGCCCTGGCTGGATAGAGCATTGTCCAGATATGCCAAGGGTGTGGGTTTGATCCCTGGTCAGGATATGTACAAGAAACACAATGAATGCATAAATAAGTAGAACAACAAATTGATATCTCTCTCTCTCTCTCTCTCTCTCTCTCTCTCTCAAGTCAATAAATATTTTTTTTAATTTTTTAAAAGAATAGCTAATGTTTATAGAGTGTTCAATACCTGCCTGATACTTTTCTAAGTCTTTAAATATATTAACTCATTTAATCCTCTTCACTTCACAAGATACTATAGTTATAACCCCCATTTTTAGATGGAGAAACCAAAGCAGTTGTGCTAAAAGCCCATGATGCCTAATCTAGATTTAATGTCTGATCTAATTGCAGTTTCAACCTCTCCCAGAAATACAACCTTAATCAACCAGTTTGAAATCAACCAGCTCCAGCCAGGCAATGTCACATGGGCCCCCTCCCTTCCCCATAGAAAAAAAGAAGGAATTTGCATGATAAAAAAAACAAACAAAAAAACCCTCTTCTCTATTCTTTCCCTAAATAAAAGATGTCCCTGACCAAAAGTAATCTTTCCTTTGTCATTAGGTCCCTTGTCCCACCCTTCTTTCTATAAAAACCTTCCATTTTGCACAACCCCTCAAAGCAGCCTTTTGTTTGCTAGATGGGATATTGCCTAATTCATGAATTGCTTAATAAAGCCAATTAGTATATCCAAATGTACTCAGTTAAATTTTGTCTTTAATCTTTTGTTTTTTTAAACTCAGAATTGTTCCTTTCCACAGAAATCTTTTTGTTTTCTGCCTTTAAAAAAAAGTTTATTGTTGAGTATTACAGATGTCCCCTTCACCACCCTATTGTTTATGTTCATAGGTAATATATACATTCATATAAGATCTTTGGTTAGCCCTAACCGGTTCAGCTCAGTGGATAGAGCGTCAGCCCTCGGACTCTAGGTCCCAGGTTTGATTCCGGTCAAGGGCATGTACCTTGGTTGTGGGTACATCCCCAGTAGGAGGTGTGCAGGAGGCAGCTGATCGATGTTTCTCTCTCATCGATGTTTCTAACTCTCTATCCCTCTCTCTTCCTCTCTGTAAATTATCAATAAAATATACTTTTTAAAAAAAATCTAAAAAAAAAAAAGATATTTGGTTAATCTTTTCCCACCCTCCACCCCCTGAAATTCATCCATCTGTTCCATGTTTTCATGCTTCTGGTTCTATTTTATTCATTGGTTTATTTTGTTCATTAAATTTCTTGTTCATTTATTTTTATTTTTAGATTCAATTGTTGATAAATATGTATTTATTGGCATTTTATTGTTCATATTTTTAATCTCTTCTTCCTTTTTTTAAAATTTTTGTTGTTGTTCTTAATCATCACCTGAAGACATCCTTCCTTTGATTTTTAGGGAGAGTGGAAGAGAGAGGGAAAGACAGAAACATCAATGTAAGAGAAACACATTGATTGGTTGCCTCCTGAACAATCCTGTGGGCTGGGGAGGAGCCTGCAACCAAGGTACGTGCCCTTGACTGGAATCGAATCCCGGGACCCTTTGGTCCACAGGCCGATGCTCTATTCACTGAGCCAAACCAGCTAGGGCACTTCTTCCTTTTTTTTAAAGAATACCCTTCAACATTTCATGTAAACTGATTTCGTGTGAACTCCTTTAGCTTTTTCTTGTCTGTGAAGCTCTTTATCTGACCTTCAATTCTAAATGATAGCTTTACTGGGTAATCTTGGTTGTAGGTCCTTGCTCTCCATCACTCTGAATATTTCTTGCCACTCCCTTCTGGCCTAAACACTTAATCTGTGGAATCTGATGCAATCTTGAAAAAGAACAAACCTGGAGGTATCACACTCCCTGATTTTAAACTATATTACAAAGCTATAGTGATCAAAACAATGTGGTATTAGAGATCTTGCTTTCCAGCATCATCATCAGTTTGACTCAAATAAAATCTTACAGAAAAACAATGTGGTAACAAACAAAAAACAACAACAATGTGGTATTGACATAAAAACAGACACATAGATCAAGAAACAGAATAGAAAGCCCAGAAATAAACCCTCACTTTATATGGTCAGTTAATCTATAAGGGGGTAAGAATACACAATGGAGAAATGATGGCCTCTTCAATAAGTGGTATAGGGAAAACTGGACTAGATTTTTAGAAAACTCACTACCTGCTGAAAACCCATGGGTGGCTTCCTCTGCTCTTAGCACGGTCAGCAAGACTCTGGGCCAACCTGCTTCCCCACCTCCCTTTCTGGCCCTGCCCCCAGGTCTCTAGGAGGCTGGGGGTCACTGCTGCCACTCTGCTCTCACCCGGGAGTGACTTCCTCCTAGAACCTTCCTTGACCTTGTTCAGGTCAAATTCCCATTGCCATTTCCCAAAGAACCTCGAGCTTCTCAAAAAACAATGGAGTCATAAAGTCACTGCCTCTTAGATCCGATTAATGCCCCAACCAGATTGTAATCTCCTGGAGGGCCAGGCCCTTCTGTTATCAGAGGTTGGTAAACTTACTCCAGCCCACCCACAGCAGCAGAGACCCCATCCCCAGAGGTCCTTGGTCCCTGGAGTCCAGGCAGATAGTCCCCTGGGGCTCAGGAGGAGAATGAGATCAGTTTGGGCTCTCCTAGGAGCATTCACACCAGCTTGGAACCTTCCCCTTCCCTTCTCCACTCAGATGAATCCTGGGGAGGGGAAGTGATTGATGGGTCTTGATTTTCTAATTAGTAAAATGGTAATATTGAGAGAATTGAGTTAATGCACCAGGTGGTTTGAGTTCCACTGGCAATCAGTGTTGTCTATTGCTAGCCACTTATAAACCAAAGGATTTCACTAGATTGGGTTTCATTTTTGTTTACAGTTCTACATACAATCATTCATTGCCCACTGACTCTGAAGGGTGCACTAGCTGAGGGTAATTTGAGGGTCCACAAAGCAGACTCCATCTCGAAGTACTAAAGACAGGAAGACTCTTCACCTAACAGCCTAGCAAAAAAAAGTTTGCCAGTTGTCTCTGGGTGAGGTTGTGGGGAAACAGGCAATCTTATATATATTGTTGCTGAGTGTGAAATTATTTCAACCCCTTTGGAAGGCAAGTTAGTAGCATCTAGCAAAATTATATATGGTCTTTCCCTTTGGACCAGCATTCTGTGAATTTAGCCTATAGTTGTCTGACAGACATGCCATCAGAAGACATCTCATTATTAGTCTTCTCTTCCATTATTGGTCAATCTCTAAGAATAGTCAACACTTGCTAGAGTGTGATGCTTGTTTTAAGTCCCCTACCTGTATTAACAGCTAACCCTCACAACTTCATGTGGAGTCAGATGCTGTTATCTTCAATTTGGAGACTGAGAGGATAGAACAACTTGACTAAGGTCATAGGGCCAGAAAGTTCCCCAAGTGGGACTCATTTTGGTTTGGAACTACTAAGCTAGTCTCTACTAGGGAAAACTGTAGTCCCCATTCTGATGAACCCTCGACAAATCAGGGGTGATCCCTACCTAGAATAATGCCTTTATCTACCTGCAATTTCACATACCCTTTGCGAACCCCTGTAAGTGTGGTAGAGAACCCCAAAGCCCCTTTCAAGAGGTCTGTTAGGTATGTGGAAAAGGAGAAACTATCTGTAAGGCTGAATTTTCTTCAAATTTCACCTAAATAACATTCTGCAGCAGACTGAAGATGAGAACCGAATGAGTTTACAAGGATATAAAACTGCTATACTAACAAGTTATTGACACTTCTGTATTTTGCTATACTAACAAATTATTGACACTTCTGTATTTGTTATATAGAATAGTTGCTTTTCATTGTATACATGTTATGTTAATCTATTATAGGGCTATTATTTTTTAAATCTTACCTGAGGATATTTTTCCCATATGGGTTTTTTAGAGAGTGCAAGGGAAGGAGGGAGGGAGGCGGGAGAGAGAAAGAGAAAC